AGCTGCCACGATTTACGTCGCTGTAATCGTTTAACACCTGTCGACGCGAATTATTTTTAATTACACACGGTTTTAATTTTAATCGTAACAGAGATAGACCGTCCGATATAAAGGGACCTGTACATTAAATTTCAAATAGATCGATTTATTTCGAGCACGTACGGAAACTTTCGAGCCCATTTTTCCTGCTAAAGTAACCTTCGAAGTTCGTTTAGAAAGAAATAAAGAGGAAAATAAATGTGGCCACGGATAAACGGTGGGTGTTTTTTCGGAAATCAATCCTTGCACGTTGGCGGCGTTCGTTTGGAGGCTTCGCCTTTAAACGGTAGCAGCCGATCGAACGTCAGGAAAACGAGAACGAATCGAACGCGACCGATTGTTGACGTCCGCCATCAATGACCCCAATCAACCGATTAACGCTGCTACACCAATGTCGACGTTATCCACGTCATCATCGTGATCGCAGCCTACGTGGCCGATGATCGGGGCTGCGTATCGGTGTGGTCGCCGTCCGTGAATATGCCCTCAGGCCGGTAACAACCAGCCAGGGAGCAGCATAATATATTCCCGATCCGGTGGCACGATGTTCTAAAGGCGACTATCAAGTTGTGGTCGCCTAATTTACGATCGCAGCAAATGGATGTCGGCTTTAGTGGACGTGGCCGAGGATCCTCTCGTGGGAGTTTGTTATCGAAACGAAAAGGCAATTCGTCTGCTCGCGTTATAGTTCGACAGGAGCATTTAGAGGGCGAAATTCGGGGAGTAGAACGAGGAGCGGTGTCAGGAAGGTAGGATTGAATCGGTGAAATCTAATCCGAGATTCGGTTCCAATTCTGTGAAACAAAAGGGCGATTGGGTCGATATCGATGGGAATCGATCGGAGGAGTTATCGCGAAGAAGCTACGAAGAAGGGCAAGGACGGCGACGAACGAGAAGGACAGGTTCTCCGGTGACGGACCGATCGGTCGATGGTCCACAGTCGACTGTCGGAGCGTGGCGGTCGGGTGCTGGCGGCGTCGCGACG